ATCTATCTATCTATCTATCTATCTATCTATCTATCTATCTATCTATCTATCTATCTATCTATCTATCTATCTATCTATCCATCCATCCATCCATCCATCCATATATATGTGTGTGTGTGTATATACACAACATTAATACATGAGTAATTCACATATATTACATGTCCGTGTATGGTGTGTGTGTGTGTGTGTGTGTGTGTGTGGACACTTCATTAGTGACATGAGTTCAGCAGTGTGATGGCTTGTGGGTTGAAATTGTTGCAGAACCCGATGGTTCTGGTCCTCAGGCTGCATCACCTCCTACTCCACCTTTAAGATAAGGTTTAAAGATGCATTAAGTTCAAATCTTTCTTGAAGTTGGTGGCCAGCTCTTCAATTATTTCATTTCCATTGATGCAATGAGAGTGGCTTTAAATCAAAAACTTGCTTGACTTTCTTAAAAAGTGTTCATGTCATGGAAACTCTGATGAATCCTTGGCTTTCTTTAAAAGACTCAGTGATCATTCACACTCTTCTCTTTAATTCCCACTTTGCTTTGGCGAGATTTAATCAGTTTAGACTAATTTTATCTCTTCAGTTGAAATCTGTGCACCTACCTGCTTTGTTTGATACCTGGAGCAGGTCACGGGGGTACCCAGAGAGCTCATAGGGAATTTTCTCACCTCTACTAAACAAGGCTTAATGTATGTGTGCGTCCAATCATCTTAAATGTCATGGCAATAATCTGAATAAAAACAATTTATATTCAGCACAGTGAACATGCTCACATACGGAGAAACAGTGCATGATTTTCTATCTCAGATTTTAAATTTCAGACCTCATTATGGATTTTGTCAAAGGTTTCCAATGCAGCTAACATTCTTTTCCATGAGCTTAAAAAACAAACAACAAAAAAAAAAAAAACAATGTGGTATTAAAAAAAAAATATTCAAACAAATTTCGTGTTGCTCAATTGCACCATCTTGTGCATAAATTATTAATTGCAAACTGAGCAGGTAAAATATCAAATATAAAGATGCACAAAGAGGAATGATTCTTTTAAAGTCAGATGAGTGAAGTCAGAAACTGTGATCCCAATCAATTCTTTTAGTCATGCGATTATTATTTTTATGTCTGTCGGACATCATTCTTTGATCAATGTTTCATTTTGTTTTGTGCGACGTTACAAAATGTCTAAAACTTTATGGGGAAGAAAGTTCACTGTTTTGGTTTAAAGTCAGAGGGATTTTGTGTGTGTGTGTGTGTGTGTTTTCTTCGCACGAGTAAAGAAACAATCAAAGAGTCATAATTTTCTTCGATGCACTGTTTTAGTTAAAACCTTTAAAAGTGTTTCACCTTTTCTTTATGATGCGTCTTCTGATCTAAGTGGTGTGCGAACGTGTGTAGGTTCATAAGTTTTACTAGAAGCCAAACAGGAAATCACCAATTCAGCCACTCTCTTAGCCTTTCTCAGATCTGTTCTTCCATTCTTAGGGAAGTAGTGGTATTTTCAAGGCTCTATAAATAGATACCATTAGTACCCACCACTGAATGCCATTACCCTTTAAACACCACATGAACACTGAGCCTATTCAGGAATATGACCTTTCCAGATGTTTACAGTTTCCTAACATGTATAGGAGTTCTAAAACTACAAACAAGGCTGCCACACCCGGGTCTGTGCCATCTCCAACCTCACAGAGAGGAAACGTCAATGTGCGCTTGAACTTTTAGGATATTCTTACCCATCTTCCTCTTGTATTATTATTTTTTTTACAAGTAGTTACACAGCCTCTGGTTCCTCGTCCTCAGCAGTGGAATGTGCATCTCAGCAGTAGCACTTAAAATGTGGTGAACGGGGCACTGCTGTGAGTGGGCGTCTGTGTTTTTGTGTGTCATGTGGGAACGTGCGGACTCCCAGGCCAGACAGGAGACAGAGTCTGGCTGCAAACAAGAATTTGCAATTTGATAGAACAGGAGAGCTTCCACTCAGAACATGTGTGGGCATAAATAGGTACCCCCCTCTGGAAATATGCTGGGTAAGGAACGCACTTGAAACCTTGTGGAACAGCCATACCTGGATGTGCAGAAAACCTAACGTTTGAAATATGAATGCAAATTCACCTTATGGAAAAAATGACGGGAGCAAAATTTAATGGAGAAAGGTTTTTGGTCAGTGCGGCTGTTCTTAACATTCTCCTAGGATTTCATTACAAATCGTATAGTACAAATTTTACTTTATTTTTTTCAGCCTATATGTTTCCACCCCTGAGCTATACAGGTTGTGAGGCGTTTAGTTCTGCTCTTAACGCCTCACAAGAGATCAAAAAGTTTTAATTCATTCTCCTCCTTGTCTCTTGTGTTTTAATGCTCATAAAAACTGAATTACATTTTCCATTCATGCATATGTGCACGATGAAATGCACAAATGAGTTCCAGCTTTTATTTTCAAGTGTTACTCCTATAAGTCGGTGAAGTATTTCTATACTTTGACAAAATCTGAACCCGTTCCCATCTTTGATTTTGACTCACCCGTCTTGGCTGCTCAAATTCTGCCATTCATGGATTAAACAAAATTGTTTGTGTTGTTCAGGATTAGACAACTTTTCACTCAATCTCAAATTGAACTGAGTCGAGCATTTGTTAACTAAACATATTTTTGAATTAAAGTGAGCAACACGTTTGTTATGATATGTTTTCACTCACACGCTGCCTTGATTCAGTTTAAGGCCCGTGGGCCAAATCTGGCCCTTGTTAACATCTTTTGAGGCCCACCAATATTATAATTTAAACGAAAAATGTGTTTATTCTTCTCATTTTGCTTCAAATAATAACTTAATGTCAGTTTCTCATGACAGTTGACGAACTTTGATGTCAGAAAAAAAAGGTTGGATTTTTCTGTATTTGATTTTGATGTGCAGGCGCAACAAAAACCATCAAATGGGACCAATTTAACTCCTGTTTATGAACCTAGAACCAAGAAAAGATGTCAAAGTATCTGACTTGGGTTAATACAAAGTACATTAACTGAAATTGGCCCATGACTTGGAAAAAGGTTTTAAACTTTGCTCCATTCATGCAACTGAGTTTGACATGGCTCAAGATTTTCACTTCTATCTCACAATAATAAAAAAAGCTTTTCAAAGCCGTTATTTAATCTGTCAAAACTATATTTGATAAACGCTTGATTCAACTTCACATTGTGGACAAACATTTGGACTTTATGATTCAGTTTTATGCTTCCTGCCAGGAAACTTTCATTAGTTTTTTTTACTTCCGTTCCTAACAGCAAAGTCTGACAGGATGTCGTGCCTCGGGGAGGGGGAAGGAAAACTGCTTGAAGGCGTTTTGGAGACTTATCCTACACACAGGAAACGTATCTTTAGACGATCAGCCAAAAGAAAAAAACAACTGGCACTCTAAACTTGATCCCAACTTTATCTATACGCAGGATTTTTGAGGAATTTTCCTGATCAGATAAAAAAAAAAAAAAAAAAAGCTCTTTTGATAGCCACATTTTTGCACACATTCAACCTTGTTACATGGGATGTGATGTTTCAGACAGAAAATAGATCTTGACTAACAGAAGGCCTGCGAGCTCAAGGTTAAATGAAGAGAATCTCTCTGGCTTTAAATGTTAGTTTTCTGAGTCACTGGTTTGTGTCAGTATATTGATGCCTGGATTTTATTTGTGCAGCAAACGGAGCTGTTGTGTGCCGTCTCCACCGGCTGTGACACGTGGACGGGACATTTCTGTGGAGCTTTCCAGTGGGAGAAGTGTGTGTGTGTGTGAGATGGGGGGAGTTCTTTGCTTCTGAACACTTGGACAGAAACATAGAAACCTAGTTTCTATCCAAGTTCTGCAGCTGGTTTAACATTAACGCTTCTGTATCTCAGGCCGTCCACACATTAGTTGTACTCAAAATTAATATTCCAGTACAGCAGACACTGTTCCAGGGTGTGAATTTGGGTTCTGATAAAACATGTTTTCAAGAAGCTCATGCTGACTGAGCAGATGAGACCATCTTCTGCTGCTCAGCTTCGTTCTCATTGGTGGAAGTTCAGTCCACCTCCAGAACCCAAACCAACTGTTCCGGTAAGAACAAGCCTCCTCCCAGACTATTTGTCATTGCTCTTTACCGGCACACATGCGCTCTTTATTACATGCACATTTTGGGCTTTAGGTCAGAGGCACTCTCTGAAAAAGATCCCTTTCATGATTTCAGACAGAATGATCTCTGCTGACTGTTTTGATCTCCTCAACACAGGAAGTTCCTAAAGACTGAGGTCACTGATCCTCCCAAATATGTGTCTCCTTTGAAAAAAAATACCATCTCTTTCTGAAAATTAATCACTGAGCACTTTACTTGAACAGGCTTCCATTCACAAGAGAGTCACAAAACAACTGAAACGTCTCACCGCTTCTCATTCTACACCTTTATTCTTCTCATTTATATATATAAATATATATAAAAGGACGCCTTTGTTCAATACGCATGTTGCAGCACCACTCATATCCCTGGTGTGGAAGTTGTTGTCACAACCTTGTTGAGTTTACAGCATTTTGACAAAACATGAAATGTTAAAAAAGACGAAACAAAAAACACCTGGATGAAAAGATAATAGTATAGTTTAAGTTATTATTTGCCGCTGTAGAAAAAACATATTAAAAAAATGGATTAAAAATGTGGAAAAACAAACAAGCACACATAACATATATTAATGCTGTTTTATATCCCCTCTTTATGTTATAACGGTTCTTACTGAGGGGATGGATGGATGGATGAAACTCCCATAAACCTTTGGCACCTGAATGCATCATGACACATCATGCGTGCTTGGAGACAGATCCTTAAGTGAAATGACAGTGAAGTGAACTATTCCTCATCTTGCAGTGGACACTCCATCCCATGGCCGCTAGAAGACCGTTCTCTCCCCCCGACACTTCCTGCACCCCCCATAAATAATGGACAGCAGGTAAGTGACGCAGCACAGGCAGGCGAACACGGAGGCCGTCAGGTAGACCTTGTACAGACAGTGGTGCGGGTACTGGTCCAGGTTGCAGAAGGAGTTGCGCTCCGTCTTGCGGATCATGATTCCTATGGCCGGCAGGTAGAGCAAGGCGGCGGCCACGTCGTGCGTCAGGTTGGCGCACGGCCAGCGCTGCCCCCCCAGCAGCGGGACCAGGTCCTGCTTGTCCAGGAGGGTGAGGAAGAACAGGGCGAGGGTGAGGAGCCAGAAGAAGACCGCCACGAACAGGACGAAGTGGATGGGACCCTCGTATTTGTTGGCAGCGATGGTGACCCACAGTCCGGCTCCGAACACGATCTGCAGGATCCGGCTGATCCCCAAGAAGCTCCCGAGGAACTTCAGGATGTTCTGCTTCACCTGCGGCTCAGGTTGGGGTGGCATCTCTCTCCTCCGCTCCAGGCAGTCGCAGGCTCGTCTTTTCCCCCACAACAGGGCGGATGCTTTTGTGTTTTGGCCAGCTGCAAACAGCTGGAGAAAAGTTGAACGAGCAGGTTTTTGGAGGGCGGAAACGGGCTCCAACAAAAGTGCCAAAGTTTGGGAATAAATGGGAACTCTGTGTTCTTTCCACAGCCCCGGGGTTTTGAAATCACAGTTTCGTCTCTTCCGTTTCCTCCTTGAATGTAGAGCCTGTGTTGGGATGGAGGTGGGGGTGGGGTTTGATGGAGACAGGGGGGTTGGTCTGTAATTTAAACCCCGCTCCTCCTCTGCTGGACTGACGGGACTCATCCATGGGCTGTTGTAGCAGCTTTGCAACTTTTTTTTCCCTTTTTACACAAATATGACTAGAAATGTCTTTCCAGATATTAAAAAAGTTGTTTTTTCTTCAACAGTATGATCGGTTCTGTTGGAACTGGATCTGATGATGATGATTCTTGTCCTGTTCATGAGTCATCCGGCACAGGATCCTCACATGCCGCGTTTTGTCCTCACATTAACAACCGGCTGTACCCGCTCCAGCCTGACCCACTGACGTCACCTCAAAAAGCGTTCAATACAAAAACAACTGGACTTTATTTGTAACAGAAGACGTTTCGCTCCTCATCCGAGGAGCTGTCCCAATTCAAACAGCAGTGAGTGAGAATCAGGTTATAAGGCTGAGTGAGATAAGACACACACACATATGTAGATTGGCAAGTCACACCTAAACACCTTAACCATAGATATCATATAATCACTAGATCCCTCATTGGCTGCTGCGGCGCAGGATTTTCGGCCGCCATCTTGGAGCGGTCGTCCTTATTTGGTTAAAGCAGATGTCTCAGCAGCTTCGCAGCTTATTCTAATCGACGGACTTTTGACGTCAGGTCTCGGGGGATAACTTTTCACAAGTAAGATGAACATATTATTGTTAGTATTTTGTGAATATAATATTACTGTACTGTATTTATGTCCACCAGCTGATGTGATGTTCAGTGTAACACGGTGTTCATATGCAATGAAGCTGACTGAGATCTGATGACAGGAATATTTTTCTAACAAGCATACTCACTATTTCAGTAGCTTTGGTTCATTATCAACAGATATGTATCAAAACTGGAGTTTTGTTTAAGTTCTAGGATATAAAAAAAAATAAAACTAGGGAGAATATAGGAAATAGAAAATAAGATTGACCTCGTTTGTACAATGTTTTTGTGTAGACACAAATCTCCTGTTTTCATTTTGAAGGTTTCCCAAAGAACAAGATGTGAGGAAGAGGTGGAAGTATCTTTGAGGAGGATTCATCTGAGCAGTGAGGATTTTAAACTGGAGGATTTTGATCAAACTGATCAGACTGTCCGACTGAGAGATGGTGTGGTACCATCGGTTCTCCTTCAAAGAGTAGGAGCATCATTATAAGTTCATTAACGTTCATAAATTTACATATTTTATTGTCAGTCACAAGGTGAGACACCTCCATGTGTTTATTTGAACAGGTAACTATAGACTGTAAAGTTCATATTCATGATGTTTTTTATTTCAGCCTGAAAACTGCAGGACTACAGGAACTCAACAAAAGCTGGAGCTGCTCTGTCTGTGGCCTCTCAGGAACGTGCACATCACACACACACACACTCTTAGGAACGTGCACGTCACACACACAACCTCGGCCTCATGATGTGAGTATTTCTATTTTAAACTTTTATTTTTCATTTACCTTTATTTATCCAGGTAGTCTCATTGAGTCACAAGAACTCATTTTCTAGAGAGACCTGTTTAGGAGCAGATGGTGGGGGTTGAGTGCCTTGCTCAGGGGCCCAGAGTGGGGCCAATGAGGATGGAGGCAGGTGTGGGTGTTTCACCTTTTCCACCCACATTTTGATGTTGACGGTACTGGGAGTTGAATCTGTGACTTTCCGATCACAGGCCCATCTTCTAACCTCTGCTCCACCACTCCCCCACATAACATCATATCATAATGGTCATGGTCATATTAAAATCTCACTGGTTTCCATCCAGATGTGTTAAACAGCTACTTGTCCCCCTGATGTTTACAGGTGGCTGTGGTAAGTGGATGAAAAGCCTGGCATGAACAAGATGATGCTGGAGATCATCATTTGACGAGAGCTCCCACCTTCTACCTGTGAAGAACAAGAGCAGCTCAGTGATTCCCTCAAGGCTCAGTGAAGGTGCTGAGAGCTGCAGAGAGGCTGATCCATGGAGCTTCAACACAGCAACCTCCAAACATGTCCACCCTCACACACATCGTCCGTGAAGAGATTGGACCAGAGCACAAGATAATAAGACAGTGATAACAACGACAACAACAATAAACATTCACAAATGATTCATACAATTTTTTCAATTGTTTGTTTGTTTTACAATTGAAAAACAGTTTGTTATCCACTGTTGTCATCACTCTTTGTTAAAATACAGGTCTCTCTTGTAAATGAGTCCTATTGGCTCAATGGAACTAACCTGTATCAATAAAGGTTGAATGAATATAA